CAAACCAACAAATTAACAAACAAACCAACAAATCAACAAACAAACAAACCAACAAATCAACAAACAAACAAACCAACAAATCAACAAACAAACAAACCAACAAATTAACAAACAAACAAACCAACAAATCATCAAACAAACAAACCAACAAACAAACCAACAAATCATCAAACAAACAAACCAACAAATCATCAAACAAACAAACCAACAAATCAACAAACAAACAAACCAACAAATTAACAAACAAACAAACCAACAAATCAAACAAACAAACCAACAAATCAACAAACAAACAAACCAACAAATTAACAAACAAACAAACCAACAAATCAAACAAACAAACCAACAAATCAACAAACAAACAAACCAACAAATTAACAAACAAACAAACCAACAAATCAAACAAACAAACCAACAAATCAACAAACAAACAAACCAACAAATTAACAAACAAACAAACCAACAAATCAAACAAACAAACCAACAAATCAACAAACAAACAAACCAACAAACAAACAAACCAACAAACAAACAAACCAACAAATGAACAAATCAACAAACAAACCAACAAACCAACAAATGAACAAATCAACAAACAAATCAACAAATCAACAAACAAACCAACAAATCAATAAACAAACAAACAAATCAACAAACAAACAAACAAACCAACAAATTAACAAACTAACAAATCAACCAACAAACAAATCAACAAATAAAGAAACAAACAAACCAACAAAAAACAACAAACAAACAAAGAAACCAACCAACATTAGGATCTGATCACAGCACACAGGAAGTCAGACAACAACAACAACAACAACAACAGCAAGTCTCCACCTGTCTCAGTTTGACTTTGACTTCCTCCAGACCTCCGATCTGGTCCCAGCGCAGCGGGACCACCTCAGTCCTGCCCAGACTGCTCCTCAGGCAGGACGGACCCACCAACTTCACAGCCTCCAGGAAGTGCTTCAGACCCACCTGCTGGTCTCCTGAGCCCTGCAGAGTCAGACCAGCAGAGTCAGACCAGCAGAGTCAGACCAGCAGAGTCAGACCTGCAGAGTCCTCTGGTGGGACGCAGCAGGACAAACCTGTAGACCTCTCAGGGTTTTGCTGACTCACCTTCACAGAGTCCCTCAGAGCCTTCATGGCAGCTTCCCTGCACAGAGCGCTCAGATCCGCCCCCACGTACCCCGCTGTGATCTGAGAGAGTTCTGCCAGGTCCAGACCCGGACACACCGGCATCTTCTGACACAGAACCGACAGGATGGACATCCTCTGCWGCAGAGTGGGAGCTCCGATGATCACCTGCAGGACGGACCGACCCTCAGAACTTTAATAAGAACGTTCAGATGTAAACAGAAGAACCCAGCGGACCTCTTGGTCAAACCTTCCAGGTCTGCGCAGAGCCGGGTCCAAGCTGTCCGCTCTGTTAGTGGCTCCGACGACCAGGAACCCATCGGACCGGTCCATCCCGTCCATCAGCGTCAGCAGCTGAGCCACCAGTCGGTTCTCCGGTGCCGACGACCCAGTTCTCCTCGGGAACAGAGAGTCCAGCTCGTCCAGGAAGAGAACGCAGGGACCTTCTTCTGCTGCCGACTGAGCGCGCTCAAACACGAGCCGCAGAGCCTCCTCGCTCTCACCGGGCCGAGACCCCACCACCTGAGGAACACCAGAACCTTAAAGTTCTCCTGGAGAACATCAGGACCTTAAAGTTCTCCTGAAGAACACCAGAACCTTAAAGTTCTCCTGGAGAACAACAGGACCTTAAAGTTCTCCTGAAGAACACCAGAACCTTAAAGTTCTCCTGGAGAACATTAGGACCTTAAAGTTCTCCNTCCTGGAGAACATCAAGACCTTAAAGTTCTCCTGGAGAACATCAAGACCTTAAAGTTCTCCTGGAGAACATCAGGACCTTAAAGTTCTCCTGGAGAACATCAGGACCTTAAAGTGGTCTCTGAGTCAAACCAATCAGGGATCAGATCTTTGGTACCTCTGGTCCTCGGACCACCAGCAGGCTGGCTCCCACCTCCTGGACCACCTTATGGACCAACAGGGTCTTCCCGACTCCCGGAGGCCCGATCAGGAGCACCCCTCTGGGACAGGAGACCCCCAGAGACCTCAGGGTGTGGGGGTAGAGCAGAGGCAGCTGCAGCGTCTCTCTGAGGGACGAGGTCACCTGCAGGGGWCAGACAGTTGGAGACACTCAGGTCAACCAGAGAAACCACCTTCCTGTCCAACAGACTGAAACAAGTTCAAACTGAGGTCAGAAACACGAGCTAAAAGCTGCAAACAGCTGAAAGCTGCTAACACTGAGCTAAATCTAAAATTATGACAAACACAAAACATAGCAACAGGCTAGCTGAAAGCTAAATGTAGCAAAATGCTAACAAAGTAGCCAAATGATAGCCAAAAGATCCAAAATGCTAACTAAAAGTAGCCACATGCTAACGTTAGCTAAAAACCAGTATGTATTTATAAAGGTGAGGATGAACCAGCTGACCTCCTCCAGTCCTCCCAGTGGGGGGGTCTGCTGGTCCTGGAGCTGACTCTTATAATGCTGGACTGTCTGGACCCCAGAGACCTCCACAGCAGTGTTTGAAGTGATTGAACCAGAACCACCAGAGTCCGGACTGATGTGGTCCACGACAACATATCTAACAGGTGTACCATGGTCCTCCAGGTCTACCACGAAGTCCTGGTGGACAGAAAGACCCTGCAGCAGGTCCTTCACCAGCTCATGGACAAGCCCACCTGAAGTTCTCCTGAAATCCGGACTCTGGACCACCACGGTTACTGTGACAGACTTCAGTTTGGGGCAGGGTACGGGTCTCAGCTGACTCGGGTCCAGGATSAGCTGTGAGGGGACCTGAGAGATCAGACCAGGGCTGAAACACTTCAGGTCCATCTGCAGGAAGTCCTCCGTCAGGTCCGAACGGGGCCAGGCGGTGCAGAGGCAGCTCCCCCCGGGGACAGAGACCAGAACCGGGGAGCCCAGTCTCAGACCCAGCGCGGCCATCAGACCCGGACCCAGCCTGCATCTCTGAGAACCCCGGTCCGAAGGATCCACAGACACGAGTCTCATCAGGACCCACCGGAACCAGCGACAGCAGGATCCAAAACAAAACACRACCAGAACTTTGGAGCTTTAGCTACATGCTAACAAGCTAACGGACTGTTTACAATAAAAAGTTAATTAACCGCGTGTTAAGTTTTAACATTAAACTTAAACTAAACCAATAAAAGCTGCGATGAATCGATGTGTTTAAAGTTCACAGCAGATGATTATTTTTAACATTTATTCATATTTTCAGAGATAAACAACTGTTTATAAAAACCACGCGGTGCCGCTGAAACAAGATGGCCGACAAAAAGCTTTTCCTGTTCCGCCTCTCCGAAATACTTACTCAGTCATTTCATTTGTRTTTTATGATTTATTTTAAATTAATGTAAGAATATGAGAAGCCTTATTGTTCGGTTAGTTATGAATTTAATATAATAAAAAGTTATTTATAATTAGTTTCAAGCGAACGTTTATGTAAATTAAATGTAGAAACCCCAAAATGCTGTTTTATTATCACAACTAAAATATCCTAAATCCTGAGCAGTTTTTCAGTTTATTAACAATAATAAATGTTGGAGGTGTAAAAAGACACGGTTRGTCCCAGGGAAGGGTTCTGGTTGTCCAACATTCTGTCTTCACCTGGCTCCACCTGCTGGACAGAAGCAGAACCTTCACTCAGTTGTCTCATTCTGTTATGGGTTTTTTAAAAACTTTCTTTAAAGATAAAATATATTTATATAGAAACGTGAAACAAAATGAATTATCGCGAGAACAGCAGCGGTTTAAACAGTTGGTAATCAGCCTCAGGTAGGTTAGGGGAGGTCACGTGACTTTCTATTTATACCTGAATGGAGCAGCAGGTGGTCCTGCAGCTACTCTGAACCAATCAGAAGGTTTGTTTTATTTTAAAGTTTAGATCATCTGAGTAAATAATAAAAACCTGAGTGTCAGTTTTCATGTTTGTGTTTTTATGAAACATTTTCATATTTTCTCAGCTGTGTAGGAAGCAGTGGTTGACCTCTGACCCCCCCTCAGTGGGTCAGGCTTGGCTCAGCCCGTCTCCTCTGTCATCAGCGGTCCAGATCTGAGTCCTGCAGGGTGTAATCCAGCCTGTGAGTGAGCTGCAGCGTCACTGCAGGCCTCACAGCGCTGGGGGGCTCTGAGGGGGGGCTCAGGGTCAGAGTCGTCCTTGTTGTCTGACAGAAGCCTGCTAACGTCTCTGTGTTCACAGTGAAGAAGCAGACCCAGTCTCAGGACCACCATGTCCACCCTCCTGCGCTGCGTCTCCAGCTCCTGCCTGGCTCTGTCCCAGAGGACGCTCCGGCAGAAAACCCTCAGCAGGAGGACCTTCAGGACTTTCCCAGTCTTATGGGACCAAACGGCCTCCAGAGGTAGGAGTCCCGAGTCCTCCTGAGGCTCTCTGGTCCACCTTGAGTTGAGGATTTAGGGCCTGACGGTTTTTTGTTTTGGTCCAGAGGAGTGGAGACCTGCACAGATGTTTGGTTTGATGTTTTTAGATTCAGACGTGTCCCGAGTATGACCTGCAGGAGGACCGACCTGCAGGAGGACCGACCTGCAGGAGGACAGACCTGCAGGAGGACAGACCTGCAGGAGGACAGACCTGCAGGA